ATCTTCCCCCTGTCTTTGGAGGGTGTCCTCCTTCCATACCCCAGTTCTAAGTGCTCTAAATGGGTCAATGGGGAAGCTGAATTATATGTTTAGATGTGGACCAAGCTTTAATAATCATGAAAAATGTGTAAAAGTCTACAAAATTGGACCCAGGTCTAGTGAAGAGTCCAGGGAGTTTCTGCAGAGCCCCAGTAGGTAATAACTATACGGAAGGTGAACACAGGACAGAAACTAAGTCTGTGTATTCTATGAACTCATTCAGTCCTCACCACCACCCCATGATGATGTAGACACTACTACTGGCATCCTCCTCTGTCATGGATGAGACTAATAAAGCAGGTTATGCAACTCACCCAAGGTCATCCTGCTTGAACTTTTGATTCCATTAACTCCAGTAACCTCATGGAGTTTCCTGTTCATCCATTCAAGACCAGGAGCTTCCCAAAGAGACACCTCCTTGCTGCTGAGAGGCCCAGAAGCCCTTTAGAGGGGTAGCTGTCTCTGCCACGTAGGATCAAGGTAAGGATCTCGATTGCATTCTGAGTTAAGGGAAACCGCAGGTGTCTCCGTGAATTGGTGTCACTTCTGCACTGTCCTAGCCAGCATGCCGGCTCTGTCTGAATTTAGCACTCCAGGGAGCTGGCTGTTCACATGTCTTCCTCTCCTTTAGGACTGGAGAAGTCTTACAGCAGAGCCCGCATCTGAGCCATTTTTATATCTTCTTCACCCTGTCCCAGTTACCTGGCACAGAGCCGGCCTGCATTAAACATTTAGTACCTGTTTATTGGATGAAATTAAAGGGGGAAATGGATTCTTAATTATCTTCAAAAATCTCATTTTCCCACATCCCAATTAATTTCAAACAGACTCGGCTATTTCTACAGTAGCATGGTGGTAATGATTATTAATAATTACAGTTACTGTGCACTGAGGATGTCATGCCAGGGTCTAGGAGAAGACAAATAGATAGAGACAGACACAGGGACTGTCTGTCACCAGCAGCCCATTGTCAGGGAGAAGAACCATCCCCTGGCCAAGGTGGGGTGGGGATGGGGGGGCTCATAAATCCCAGAGGTGAAGGAGAATATAGTTTCTCAGAAGTGGCCACTAGGTGGCGATGCGACACCACATCACCTCTGGTACCTGGCTGTGAGATGGTGAGCATCTTGGTGGATTCTAAAAGGCTGGTTGGGTGGGTGGGGACCTCTTGGTGGGTGACCAAGGGAGCCAAGATGGGGGCCCATGCACCAAGCCTTGTAGCTGTGCCTGAGGACTTTTCAGTGTATGCCTGTGAGGTGTCCCATCAAGAGGACCCTCACTAAGTGAGGTTGCATTGTTTTCCTCTTCAACATCTGAAAACCACTCTATTTTAATTTAGTACCACAAGGCATTATTAAGTCTCAACTCTCACCAACACCTCCTCTGTCTTTACACCTTCTATTTTAGGCTAGCTTGGGGTGGAGGGGAGACACAAAGGCCTTAAGTCCCAGTTCTCACATTTCTAAAGGATATGCTTAGGCATTTAATGTTGCATTCAAATGAAGCTGCACATAGGACTATTCTAATTCTCCCCATGGTAAAAAGTTTGTTCATTCTTTGAAAAATCTTTAAATTATACCACTATTTTTGTGCTGCCTCTTACCAGTCTTCATTTTTTTTTATTATATCAGTATCTTTGTAAATTGGAAATATCCAGGACTTCTCTCTCAAGTTTCTAAAAAAAAAAAGGAAAAAACACTACCTGGTACTGGTTAACTGAAAGGTTTGCAGTCTCACCGAAGCAATAATTAGCCAAACTGTCTTCATGTGATGGCTTTGGTACTTGTTAATATCCACTTTTGGAACTGTTTCCTCTTAGGTTGATGGATATCTCCCTGTTCCTCATATCTCAGATATCAGCTCCTCTGCAAAGCAAGACCTTGTTGTTGCTCCAAAACACCTAGATCTGTTCCATTGCAGTGCTTAATATACGATGCTGTCATTTCTGTTTCCTTCTCAGCATACTCGGGAAGACCAAGCGTTCTTACGATGGTACATATAGAACTTCAGATTATCCATCATGCCCTTAAAATTGTGTACTATTTATCTACTGCCATAATGTATTGGATAACAACAACCACAAAACCTCAGTAGCCCTTCATTATGAGGGAATATTATTTATGGGTCTGGAGTCAGCTGGGGCTTAGCCAGGGGTTCTGCTAAACTTGAATGGGAGTGGTTACCTCTCTTGGGTTGGCTGGCTGATGGCTGATGTAGAGTAGTCTATGCTGAAACAACTAAGCTTTGTTCCTCGTGGTTCTCATCTTCCTTCTGAGAGAGAGGACTAAGTTGGTCTTCCTCATGGTGGTGGAAGAAGTGCAAATTCTCGAGCCCCAACATGCAAGTCCATCTCACAAGGTTCTGCTTGAGCCATTCTTATTATTATCCTATTGACCAAAGCAAGTTGCACAGATGAGTTCAAAGTCAGGTGGTGGGGCAGGTCACCCCACTCACAGGGGGAAGTTCTGGCCAAAGTCCAGATACCAAAAAAAAAAAAAAAAAACAAAAAACTAGAGGGCCATTGTTTGCCTTGTATTTTGTACTAAAATACTGTGCATTTTCTGAAAAGATGATCTAAAGTTTTTGTCAGTTTCTCACTGGGGAAATTTTTGTGCCATATCCACAAAAGTTTGAGAACTTTCAATATAGACTTATCCTTGAGTCCAGGGACTCTATCTCTAGTTGTGCATCTTCACAAACTAGAAAACAGTTCTTTGAACATAGCAGATGCTTGATAAATGTGTATGAATGAATGAATGAATGAATGCCTTCTGCATGCAGGCCCTGTAATAGACTCAGAGGATGGATATAATTCAGCCAAATGAGGCCTTTACTCTCAAGGAATTTTTACTGTAGGAGCTTTCTGAGAGTTGATGCTCAGGGGTTGGAGACAGGAAGAAACTGGACATCCTGCCATCTCAGGCAGAATAAAGTTTGCATCATTAAAAAATCTGAAAGGTGAAAGTCAAGAAAGGACAAGCTTTAGAGGAGACACAATAAAAATCTCAACTTCAGTGATTGCCAGCGTGGGTTATCCTGTAGAGACCAGACGCTGCACAAACAAACAGATAGTCTGGCTTAAAAAAAATGCAAGTGGAGACCCCGTAGTTATTGGTGTCACAAAGTGAATAATGAATTTTCTTAGCAGCTAGTTTCAGAATCCGTCTCTGAAAAGGAAATTGCCTCTGTCCAGGAAAATATCTTGATAAGATGTTCAGGGCAGAAGGTGAGACCCTGAAGGCATGGGTGTCCAAGGAGGTGAGCTGTTTTCTCCTCACAAGGAAGGAACGAGAGAAAGGAGTCAGAAGAGGTTGGAAGGAAGGAGGACATGAGACCTGGGGTGTTAACCCACCTGAGATCCATATTGGAGAAAGAAAGCAAGACACTCCTATGAGAAAACCAGTCAGAAACCTCCCAACCTTGGAAGAAGCTAATAGGTGATTTTCAGTGGATGGCTGGGAGGCATTCTGTGGGACCCTGCCTTGTGACCCCAGAGTTTACCAAGGAGTAGATGCAGCTGCATTCTGCTTTATCACTTGTTTTTTAAATGCCTTTATGAAAAATGAGAGAAACACCGAGCTACTCACGAAGATCAATGTGGTCTAAACAGATGCAGCAGATTTAGTAGCAAGAGGCTGAGGGCAAAGATTTCCAGGCTGAAGCACCCCAGATTTCAGGAAACCAATGAAGGCTTTGAATGCTCAGGGTTGTGGAACTTGGGGACATCAGGGGGTCCCACCTGATACCTGCTTGGTGACATTCTCGACTTGGGGAGCTGTTTGGCTGGTTTCTTACATTCTGTCTGTCTCTGTTTTCTTACCTTTAAGCCAAGGATAACAGCAGGATTGCCTTCATGGGATCCTTGGGAGAGTATCCTATGAATTAATCAAGCACAAAACATGGCACCTCGCGTTTTTACTCATGATGGTCAGTTCTCCTCATTTTAGTTGTCATTGTGATTGTTTGTGTTACCATGCATAGCTAACATCTGGGGAGCATTGACCAAGTAGATCTTAGATCTCCCTCTGAGCTGCCCCATGACCTTGAGAAAAGTCACTTTGCCCTTCAAGGCCATAGGCTTTCCCTCCCTCTACGAATGGAAGGAAATTTGGCAAAGCTTTCTCCAACGGTTGCTTTGTAGATGACACAGCGGCCCCACAGTTCTTGGCTCCGTATGTAGCCTGGCTTGACGTTGGAGGAAGCCACCCTGGGTTGCAGGCCACAGTCCACTCAGAAATCCATTTTCTTCACTCAGCATAACACTGAGGTGAGATTGACTTGGTGTGTTTGTTTACACCCCTTGGGAAGTTATCTCCCTTTTCACTTAATTATCTGATACTCAGACATTGCTGTGCAAAATTCACCTCAAATACATTCTGTAAAGTCATCTAGACTCGCTCATTTGGTGCTTTGATTAAAATGTGCAATCTTCCCCAGGCTTCAGCACCTCGTTAAATAATTGCACCTCCAGTGAGAAAGTAAACAGCACATGCTGGGGCACAGAGCACATGATAAATGTGGTGTACTTCCAGCAGGTATTTTACTCCAGCCTCCAGGGAAACATGCAACCTCTCGGTTAAGCGCTGAACGGCCACTGGCTTTAGGCTGCTTCCTTTTGACAATCTTGTTCAGGAGGAGGGTGACCCAGAAACAGAGCAGAATCCCCTGTCCACCCTTGCATGGCTTCATTTCTGCTTAACTTGGTCTGAGTCCTGGGGAAACACAGGCCAAGGGTTGGTTGCTCACCAAGAACTTGGCCCATCCCCTAACAGTATCAAAAAAGGAAGTCCGTCGGTTAATTGCTTTCCACTCAATGTGGAAAGGCGGGGGCTAGCCACAGTGCACACTTCTTAAATAATGGGGGCAGTGCTGTTGAGAGGTTGGCAACTTTGATTCAAGTCCCACTTTTCTCACTGGTAAGTAACGTTGACCTTGAACTTTTCACTTTATCTTTTTTGACCTCTATTTGTTCCCCAGGTTCTTCTATAAAACGAATAAGTTTGACATTGCAGGCAGCCCTGGATTAAGTGTACCCGTGCCATTTGCTTGCATGTGACTTTGAGTAGGTAACTTAACCTCTCAGAGACTAGGGGTTTTCTCATCTGGGAAAATGGCTAAGAGCTGATAGGAAAATTAAATCACTGAGATAATACATCTGATACATCAGACACAGCACTGAGCATAGAGATGGAAATTATTGGGCAAATAATGTGGTGGTCTGGAATGAGCAAGGGTTGGTCAGCTTTGGGTGTGAATCTTGCTTCTACCAATTTTTAGCTGCGACCTTAGGTAAGTTACTTGTCTTTTGTGAGTGCTAATTTGTAAAGAGAGATAATACATTCCTGTTTTAGGAGATGTGAAGAGGCAGGATTAAATGAGAGGATCTAACAGGCATACCAACCTCTCTAGCAGAGAAAGAGCCCCCTGAACACTTATTCATCAAGGCAGGGATAATGATTTATGGCATAATGAGCTACTTTTTAAAATGAGTCCATAATGGGAAACTCAAAGTAAAACACATGGTTCAAGAAAAGCCTGCATGATGCTGGTTGGCAAGGGTGTTTGTGGAAATTTCTTTTTCCTAGTATTCACTCACTCCAAGGTCTTAGAACAGGGAATTTGATCATCAGGCTGAAATAGATCCTTCCTGAGTTTTTCTTCTGGTTCCATAGGGCATGGAAAGGAATCCAGGGAACCAGCTGATCTTCTGACGTATTCCTGGTTGGCCATCGATCCATTCCACCATCCATCCTTGCATCTCTCCATCCATCTTGTCATCCATCTTCCATCCAACAAGATGAAACTCCATGTGTTGGGTCTCATAAAGTGTGTCCTATATAAGGTGCCATTTATGAGATATTTTAGTGAGGTAGTGGGTGACATAGGATGGAAGGACTGGGTAAAACAGAAGAAGGGAGACAAGAAAATGGAGATCATTCCACTTTTGAGATAATTCTACTTTTGCAAGGATTAAAGCAGAGAAATGGAGTGGGGCTGGGGTTGAAATAGACTGGGACTCTGTATTTGACGGGAAAGGTGGATAAGAGAGGGAAACTTTGATGATGCAGGAATGGGAGAGACTGATTGGTCAATGACCTTGGTATTGAAAAAATGAATGTGAACCCAGAGTTCAAGAAGATGACCGGCTGAAGAGAGGAGACTTTCAGTTCATCTGTGGATTGGGTGAGAAGGAAGAGTATAGGGAACACATGCTCTGAGGTTGGTAGATGGGTTGGTGAGACACTGTGGAATTTTCTTCTGGGGGTTTCTATTTTCTTAGCTGAGAGCAAAGAGAGGGAAAGACAAGAAGTTATACAATGATAATTTAGTCCTTTGATTGGACCCCCCTGCCCTTTTGAATTAGACCATAAAATTGGAAGAATGCAGGATTTGGAAAATGTAATAGAATTGGCAGATAGTATCTGGGCCCACTTGTGGTAGGTCATAATGCATTTGAAGAAAAGCCAGTGAATATTCTTGTGTGTTTTCTTTTTTCTCCTACCAAATTCAGTTGTTTGGATGAACATTTGGAATGGCAAGATTTAATAAGGGTTTTTCTTTTTCCCCCTCCAGATGAATCTTGGGAAGAGACGAGGAAAGGAATTGGAGTATATGATGGGGAGTGGTGATGATAATCCACACCTGAAGGTAAACACGAAAGAAAAAGAACGAGGCTAGGCAGAGTTGAGGGTCTGATAAAAGGTGGTGCAATCATGGAATTAGCTTATGGAGGTGTCAATGGTTTTTAGAATTGGAAAACTGAAGATGAGGTCGTTTGAAAATAGAACGCTTAGAATTGAGATAATGGAGGGGGTGTAATTACTTGCATAAAAAGGTCTAGGATATGGCTTTGGGGTAGAGTGGCTGAGTTAGGGTAGAGGAAGAAACATCACGGAAGAGAAGAGATCATGGAATTGAGATGCTGGGCTTAGCAGGGATTTCTCTAGGAAAGCAGAAGTACTGTGAGTTGTAACAGAGGCAGTAACTGGAGAGGGTGGCAATGATTCATTCAGGTGCTAGAATTCTGTAGTGATGAGGGGATAATCTTGGAGGGGGCTCTGTGGATGACTATAACAAGAGAGATGGTAGGTTGTTGGGTCAGGCAGCATGATGGTGGAAGCCCAAAGTGTTGGGAGCCAGTGGTGAGAAAGACTCAGAATGGGCAAGCAGGAGCCATCCCTCATCTGAAGGGCGGTGAATGAGGGGTATGGGAATGAAGAGAAGAGCTACCTCTTGAAACGATGGTAGGGGAAGCTATGTCTTTAGGGGAGTTTGGGGATTTTCTTAGGGACTGGTCCTAGGAACACATGGACCCCTCTAAGACTTCCTCCCTGTTGCTGTGATGTTTCTACTTCTTCAAGTGGTCTCCTCAGTCACCATGGATTCTTCTGCACCACAATCTATCACAGTGGCTACACACATAGGATTTGGAGTCCAACCTGGATTCAAGTCCTGTGTTCCTGATCCACTACTTTTTAACTCTGTAACTTTGGGCTCATTAATCAACTTTTCTATATTTCATTTTCTTTAATCAGAAAAATGGGAAGGTAAGGGCCAGGGGGGTACCTCAGTAGTAGAGTGTGCCCAAGGTCCTGGGTTTAATCCTTAGCACCCAAAGAAAATAAGGAAATGATATGGTAATGTGCTCAATTAAGCAATTTTTAATGAAGATTAAGGAAATTCATACAGGTGTTGTGGTGTTTGGAACAGGCCTAGCATATTAGTGGGCTTAGAAGTATTTGCTATTTATTTTATGTTATATTTTGCTATTATTTTTAAATTAAGATTTTGTTCTCAATGGGCTTCTTACTGTGTTAGGACAGAAAGGGAAAGGAAATATTTCATAATGCAATTGACGATACGGGAGTCTTATAGGTAGTGGACCACAAATTATAGAGGACTCAATGGGGGTACTTGGGGAGTTGCGAGTAGGGAATGTTCAGAGGTGTAAGGCATGAGAAGCAGGTAATGAAGGAGTTTAGGGATTCCTGCTCCCAGAAAGACAATTCTGGGTGAAGGGTGATCTTCCCAGGACAATGTAGATCTCAGGGGCTGCCTCTTCCTTTCTGTTGAAGGACATAATTCGTGTGGTTCACTGGTATACCTCCAACTTGACACAGGAACGTCCCTACTGTATTCTCACCAAATAACCAAAAGATGACTTGGGAGATGAGTTTTTCTGTTGACCTGGCCTCTTCTAACACCACACTCCTTTTGGAAATGTAGTTAATCTCTTGGTCAGATTCCCTCTGAATTGTATCAAGCATCTAGGTGTACCTCTGTACCTGCGATTGTAAATAGTTGTGTTTGCAGCTCACCTTACCCATAGCTGAGATAAAAGGTGTTATAACATGTTCTCAAAAGCTGTGTTTGCTTGAGTCTGAGAAGATGCTCTGTCTACAGCAACTACCAAAAATGTTAAAATTGAGACCATACAGACTTAGGAGTCTTGTTGTTTTCTTACAGGGAGGATAGTTCTTTACTTCTTTGGCTGGATGTTCAAGACTTCAACAGTTGTGGGGTCCCTGTGGCTGCCCGTCATTGCCTGCTCAGGGCTCTTGGCTCTTAGGTCATGGACTAATGGGCTATACTGTTCAGCTGCCTGATGATCTCACTGAAGACCTGGGTCCTAAAATCTGTTGCAGACAGTGATATGACAATCAGACTGGATAGAAAATTACCCACAGGTATAGGCTGTTTAACTCACACAGTTTTTTCCAAATTGGGAAATTTAATGCAAATTCCCAGTTTTAGTTGATTTTTTTTTAACACAGAAGATTCAGCCACATAGACTCTGAGATGTTGCATGGCTGCCATTGACTAGAATTCAATAATGGCACCAGTTCTAAACAGGGTGCATGCTCTGAGACACTACAGACATTGAGTCCACTCATTGGGACCCTATCTTTTATGATGGATCTGCTACTTATGGGCATTGAAATTTGTAAGTTGACCCATCTAATTGAGATAGAGGAAGATTTGAGGGTGTGTGCAGAATATAATGTGAACAATTAATCACTACATGGCATATTGATATGCAGGTCACTGAATAGCACCCAAGCTCTTTCTGGTTATTTGTGAGAGTAAACAACTTACATAATCTCTGGGAGGGGAAAAAAAAGGAAGGACCTAACTGATACATTCTGCTCTTCTTGGAAATTTTAAACTTAAATCGGAAGCATGGAAAACAATTGCTTAAATCCTTATCTTCTGCTTGAGAATACCATGATTATCAAAGTAGAAAATGCCTGATTCTTTCCCAGGAGAGTGGAGAATTTTACAGTTCCCTTTCTTTTTTTTTTCTTTTGTTCTGTAGCAACACCAATTATCACCTGATGGACTCTGTGTGTGTGTGTGTGTGTGTGTGTGTGTGTGTGTGTGAGAGAGAGAGAGAGAGAGAGAGAGAGAGAGAGAGAGAGAGAGAGAGAGAGATATCACCCAGAGCTTTTGGAAACAGGTAGTGAAATATTACATTATTTTTGCCATAGCAATTGTAAAAAACTGAACAGTTACATGACAGAAGATATTTTTTCTCGAGAACAACTCAGCTTCTGACTAGCTGTGACCACCAACGAGTTATTTAACCTCTCTGAGCCTTGGTGTTCACCTCTATAAATCTGAGGAGTAATGTTTTATCTCTCAATTTTTTTTTTTTTTGTTCTGAAGATTCAATCAGATCCTTATGTGGAAATGCCTGGCACAAACCCTCCCTTTGAGAAGGTACCCAGTGAATCTTTCTATTCAGGGAATTCTCAAGATAAGAACCCCTGAACACCCAGGGAATTCTCAGAGGTGGTCCACACAGTCAATCTCCAGAGCCCAGACTCTGATAATAGTCTTGAGCATGGGGAACTGAGGTTCTGCCCTCTGGAATTGGTACCACCAGACCCTCAAGAGAGAGTGGTCTGCTCATTTGTTGATTTGAGAGCTCGAGGGGATTTCTCTCTCTCTCTCTCTCTCCAAGTGTCAGGCTATAACATTGCTGCTCAAAGCAGTAATTTCCCCTGGGGAACAAGGGAAGAAAAATTCTTTGGCTACAATTCTCTGACTGATGTCTATTTGCTTGGGGACACTTCCCTTAGGGAGGTGAGTTGAACAGCACTGATTTTTCTAAAATAGTCCACATCAAAGTTTCTCCTTCCCCATGAGTCATTAAACCTATTGAGGTGACAGGCATTTATGGAGCACCTTCTGCTTACTAGGCACTGCAGTAGGCTCTGGGGTTACAACAATGGTCAAGACGATGTGCCTGTGGTCTTCATGTAGCTGCTGGTCCAGGGGAGGAGATGTGAAAGTAATCAGACAATTGAACACAGTGTGGTAAGTGCTGCTAAAACCAGTGAGGACTTCAGATGCCATGGGAGTTCATGGAAAGGGCAATGAAACTATCTGGGGGAAATTGGGGACTCTTTTCTGGAAGAGTGCTATGGTCTGTAGGTTTGTGCTCTCCTCCAATCCATATGTTGAAGTCTTAATCCTCAATGCCTTAAGAGGTGGGGCCTTTAGAAGAGGATTAGGTTGTAAGGGTGGAGTCCTCATGAACAGGATCAGTGCCCTTACGAAAGAGACCATGTAGTAGGAGTAAAGGTGACCCTTATCCCTACTATGTGAGGAAAGAAACAGATGGCATGTCCATGAGCCAGAAAAGGGGCTCTTGCAGACATTGAATCCATGGATGCCTTGACATCAGATTTCTCTGTCTCCAAAACTTTGAGAAATAAGTGTCTATTGTTCATAAGCTACCCAGTGTCTGCCATTTTGGTAAAACAGCCCAAACTGAATAAGACAAGATGGTTAAGTTCCCATTGAAAGATTAAAAGAAGAGTAGCAAGGTTGACAAGGATGGGGACAGGCAGGATTACCTTCCATAATTTGGCCAGAGGTAATAATCTGTGAAAGACCGGGTGCATAGCTCTGTGGTCCAGTGCTTGTCTAGCATGCAGGAGGCCCTGGGTTGGAGCCCCAGCATGAAATCAAAACCAAAACAGGCAAACAGACAAAAACCAAAAAAAAAAAAAAAAAAACCCCAAACCAAAAAAAACTTGTGCAAAGGCTCAGGGCAAGAGAACAGGGCATGCATGGTGAGAGGCTTGCCAAAGCTCATCAGGACTTGAGTGCTGTTAAGAAGGAAATCTCTAGGGGCTGGTCACTCATATCAAGGAATCTGGATTTCATCCATGAATTTTCCCAGACATCCCAACATTTTGAGGTCTAGTCTATGTCTCCAAGACAACTTCTTCCATCTCGAAGCTGTTCATTCATCCTCCCTTTTGAAATGTATGGTCATCATACTTGTTGCCTGTGGATATGGAAAGAAGATGTCCTAGCCGGGCACACATTATTGGGGTAGTGCCTCTTGCATCTCTGTTCCAGAGTCAAAATGATGTCTCTCAAGTTTCGATTCGGAAAAAATACTGCTCATATTTATATGAGCAGTATGACATAATTCTCCTGCTTCTGCGGCTACCACAGATCCCCAAACTTTCAGGAATTTAAAATATGGCAAGTTTTGCCCAATTCGCAGACCTCAGACTCAAGTTTGCAAAATAAAGGACAATTCTATAATATTTCCACCATAGAATTTGTTTTCTCTCTTCAGCACGATGCCACTGAACAGATAGTATCATTTCAGGGCAAATACAACCAAG